AAAAGAAAGAGATATACTAATATTTTAAATGAATAAAGGAATGCTGGAGAGAAATAAAGAGTCTTACAGTCCCCATATAATGTATCTTGACACATACAGTATTAATAAACCTGAGTACAACCAAGCAACATGTATACTTAAATATATTGATAAATATGTTTAATTAGATAACTATGTAAAACATAACTACAGATGGAATTGACTAAATGAATATTTCCAATAGGGTTTATTGCATCTTGATTAACTTTTTTCTTGTGCTGGTTAATGATTGCAATAAAGTTATTTCAGATAAACTTTTTTGATAACATGCTTAAAAGGGCCTTAAGCCATACTTACAGTCTAAAGGACTATCTGTTTGAAAATAGATCAAAAAATGAAAATTGATTATATTTTGACTGATGTAATTCACTCACTCTATTTTTCCAAACCACCAAGAAAGTCTGGAAGTGGCAAGATAATCCCAGTATAGTTTTCAGGGATTCAGAGATCAGGAATTTAACCTACCATAAAGCAGCTTTGCACTGACTGACTTCATGGACTACCATTCCATTTTTTTTCCTGTAACATCTCATGTATTCACACATCTCTTTGGTGGCAAGAAGTATGAGTTTCACCCTCATCTGAAAATGATGCATCTCATTACTGGTGCTAGTATATTATATGATAGTCCTTTATACAGCAACTGAAGTTACCTTTACAATGCATTGTTATAGATGCCCTTACCTTTACCTATACCTATATAACCACTTTTCTTTAAGGAGCTCATTTTGACTTGCTCCCAGGTTAAAGTGTAACAACTTGAATTGCATCTTAAGCATTGTATATATACTTTCTCAAGATTTATCAATTAAAAATAATTTTCAAATGCATACTAATTAGCAAATGCATTCTAGAATGTTTCAGAAGCAACCTATGTCTATGTTTAGGCTTTATTAGTATGGAAGAAAAAATTAATATTAACATCCAGGCATTGGAACAATAGGCAACTATTAAAATAACTGCCAAATATGTCTTGATTAAAATTCCTGTAACTATTATTACTTTTGGAACTGTACAGTGGTCTACCAGATATTCATAACCATAAAAGTACAAAAAAAAAACCCCAATGAAAACTGTTACTGCACCTAGAGTAGCATATTATAAAGAACAGCTCTTTTGTGTTACAGCCATTACTGACTGCTATGGAGAATGGGTAGGGCTCATAGACTGTAACAAATGGGAAACAGGTTTCTGAAACCTGCTATTAGACCACCCATGCCCATTAGATTAGAAGCACATTAAAAATTCTTTCAGGTTTGCCACATTTTAACATGGTTTGTCATGACATAAAAGCAGACTGCTCTTACATTAGTTGATTAAGAGCAACAAAAATAATAACTACCCTATTCTAAAATACAAAATCCTTATTGTAAAATTAAACATTTTACAGTTTTGAAAACCAAAGATACATTTTAGAAATGAAACATGCTCAATTGTTGGCACATGATTGATGCTGAGACTATTATCATTTATATGTGAAGAGATTTTTGCTCATTACTTCCAGAAAGAATATCCCATTAGTTCTATGTTTGTTACAGACACTATGGGCTATTTCTGTGATTAATGCCCAAAATATATGAAACAAAATTCAGCACTTGTGTTTTAAGGCAAACCTATCATGGGCAGGCTGTATTATAAATGTATGATTTGTCTATATCTTTGCTATTTTTAAGGTACTTATAACAATCTACCTTAGCTTCTACAAATAAGTGTCATCCCCATATACATACACGTGCATACACAGATAACTCATATATACTTGGAGTTATTTTTCAAACTGCAAGCAGTATTAGATGCAGCTTCCAATGTGGTGTAATATAGTTCCTTTTAACAGTAGTCAAGTACACAATAATTATATAGGCACAACTCTAACCCTAACCCTAAACCCACACTTGAATATAACGTATGTCTGCCTATATAACAACATATGCATACCTTCCAAGTGTTTAATGAAGAAAACACAGAATAAGCAGAAAACTATTCTGGTAGCGTTAACATACAGTAAGTGATGAGAAACATAGGCATCCACAGGGAGGGGGCATACGACAAAATATGCATTTGAACATCATGATGGAAACCATAACCATGACTTACGTACTTGCATTTGACATTGTGATGCAAGTGCAAAAAGATCTGGGATATGTTGTGACGTCACAACACACATTTCATCATTTCTGCATGGTTTCTACCAGAAACCTATTATGAAAAATGTTTTTCCCCCCCACTATTTAAGCTCAGACATTTAACATGCCTTTTGATTCAGGCCTCCTAATTTCCAGTTATAACCCAGACTGCCCACATTACCCTATACAAACCACTATGTTTGGCTCCATCTACTATTTCCCATTTTAATTGTTTTAATTATAAGTTCCCTATGTTTGGGATAAACTGTATTAAGATTCTCATTTTATATATTACATAAATTTGTTACAAAATTAACAATAACTACAATAACATAAAAATGATAAATAGAATACAAACCACAGGGTTTCATAATTAGATTGCACCAAAATATTATGGGTTTCTTTTACACAAAGCTTTAATAAAATGGTGAAAGATAAAACTTATCAAAACAAACACAAAACTGAGAATGGATTGTCTACCTGACAATTTCAAAGGCAAGTATCTTAAGTTGTCAGAGTTGCATTAGAATTTAAATTTTGTGTTTGTTTTGTACTGATGAGTGACATAGATTGAACTTTCTCTGTTGTAGAGTAACATGATGTCATCTTGTAACCACAGGACAAGGAATAACAGCATTAACAGATCTACCAGACTGGGATTAGTTTCTGGGTAAGCCTTACAGAATTCAGTAGGGCTTACAACCAGATATGTGAGCATAAGACTGCAGCTATTTAGCAATCCTATGCATATTTATGATTGTGTTATTTGGTTCAGTTAAGCTTACTCCTTAAATAGATATTTAAAACTGCAGTCTAATGGATGGATATTACACCCTAATGACTTTCCAGAAATTATTAACAACCTGGTTGTTTTTCCAGGTCTTCAGACATGATGACTGAGGAGCCCCATGTTTTTTTGTTCTTTTGTAATACTGAGGTAGTCTTCTAATTGCCTTTGGGGATTTTGCCATATGTTGTTTTTTCTTTTTTCTTTTCCTTTTAACTGCATGCTGCCCAGAGTCACTAAGGATTCAGGCAGCCTCTAAATCAAATAACTAAATAAAAATAAAACAAGTGTGTGCATGTATATATGTGTGTGTGTGTGTTTATAAACTTCCCTAATCTTAAAGTGATGTGTTAGCTTGGGCTCACAAAACATTCAAAAAAGGTGTTCTGCAATGTATGTTAATGAGAATGAATCTTTGAACTGTTAAAGCAGCTACTTCTTTGGTAAGCTTATGCAGCTTCTTTGAAAGTCTCCTGCTTGTCTCATATGCATTTATATGCACAAACAATACCTGTGTTGTATAAACACCTCTTTTGAATGACTGACCCTGATTCTATCATTCTTTAGACATCATATAAATACCTTTCTATTGTCCCAGCTTTTAATCATTCTGAATAGGAATTTTAAGAGTTGTAATCTGTAACACACCAGTATTATGTTGGCTGACATGTTTTAATTAATAAAAAGTTTACACCTTTGAAAATGTTTGCTTCATGTGCAAATTGTATTAGCATTCACAAAGGATCAAAAGGCATTCATATATAAAGAATAAAAACAGGATGACACATGCATTGTTGTCTACATTGCTTTTACTGTCAGTCATGTCATTTAGCAAACTTAGAATAACTACATGATAAAGCCGTTGTTCCCAACAAGATTAAAGCAGCCACTGTATATCACAGATTAAATATATAGTTTAGCCTTAATTCTCGATCATCATGTTCACCATTCAAATTTACTATTATTTCAGAAGGTAAATATTAACTTTGCTTTCTGGCTAAGGATTCTGTCTATATTTCTTAAAAGCTAAGTTTGATCTAGTTAATATGTTAAAGTTTCTTTCCTTCATAACTTTTATAACATTTCTATAAGCGCTCAACCTGCATAATTCTCACTGACCCAGTTTAAATTTAGAAATCATGTTTCTTTTCATTTCTCATTTCAAAAAAGAACTTTTTAAAAAAAATACCGGCATAGAAAATATACAGTTTATTAGAAAAAATGTACACTACTGAAGACACATTTAAAATGCTAAGGAGAAGAATCTGCAATTGGTAATATCTTCTACTTAAACAAATTCCAAAGCTTTCTTCCAACATTAACTAAATTATTCTGGCAAGTTAATTTGAGATATTATTTTAAATTTTCAGATAATAAACCCATACCTAGGATAAAACCCATACCTATGGATAAAATCAACCTAGATTTATATTCTTGACTTTTTTCCCCCCACACTGCTGTTTTCAATTGCAACAAAGAACTAGCCTTTAAGAAATTGAATTTTAAAACAGAAACAATTTTGAACATGTTGATATTGCAAAATCATTAAAACTGGTGACCTGAGTGAAAAATGCTTGTTCACAAGCTGTATTCAGATGTTCAGAAACAAGAACCATGAACTTGCAATAAGCCCTGTCCAGCCTACTTATAATTTATATGAATATGTACAGATGTTTGTAGCAGTCAAAACATGTGTAAAATTGTACATGTCTTGATTTTCAGACAATCAGAAGCCTGTAATCAGACAGGTTAAAAGACAATAAAAGACCTCCAGACTGCTCAGCTGGGGGCCAGAACATCCACAATCATACACACAAGATATTTTCATCTCAAGTATCTGTGTTGCATTCATATACTGTACATCATTTATGCAATGTTGGCAGATGCAGGGCTTATGTGGAATGATCCTTATTTCTGAATACCAAAATACAAAATATGGCACATAAATGTACCACTGTCATCAACTGGTTCACTGAATGAATTAAAGTCCTGAATTTAATAAACCAAAATAATATGTTAAAACCAAATGAATTCTAATCATTTATACAAACCTTGCATCTGGTAACTGTATGGAGCCTGTCCTGGCTGGGGAGTGCTAAAGCTTGCACTGTAGCTCAGAAAGCCTGTCTGACCAGGTGACTGTGTTTGTGACAATCCACCTTCTGTCTTGATGCCTGCCCACAATGCACCTAAATCAGTTAGTGATAGCAAAGCTATTTGTTCATTTTCAACACTTAAAGGGCATTAATAAATCACACAATGATCCATGCATTTGAACTGCAAAGGCATACTAAACCACAATTCAGTATCCATTTCAGTTAATTTAATCATTATAATTTAAATACTTAATCTAAATTTAGCATCATAAATCCTAGATTATATTATGTACAGTGGAGTTCTATGAATGTCTCAGAAGCAAATATAACTGAGTTCAGTGGGGCTAGTTTTGAAACATAATCACAGAATTGCAGTATAAATATATTACATACAATGCCCCATAGAATTTGGTGGGATTAACTTTTGAGTAAATAGAAAATAAGGGACTTGTGAATGCAGATCTTAGTCCAAGAATCTCTATATAGAGAGAAACATGATGGACAATATAAAGTGGCAATAACAAAGCATCATTTTAGTTTAAAAGCACGAAGTATTTAATGAACTTTAAACAATTTTCTTCTCATTCCAACAGATATGAAACCATTAATATATTTCTTCTAGGCATTTCTTATTAAACACTTTATGACTAGAAACTGATAAACACTAAATAATAGTAATACTACAGAGCAGAAAGAGGGAAGAGAAGTGGTTCTAAATTGCAACTCCTAATAGGGGATTTGCCTTGAATTAACTTAAAACTGATTTTCTAAAATTAAATATCATAAACATAAGAATGCTGTGTTTTTGCCCTAGTAACAGAAATAAATCAACATTTTGATTTACTAAGTCTATGAACTTAAATATGATTAACTGATAGATTAATCAAACAATGTTTTCATTTCTTAATTGCTAGGGCCAATGTGCACACATTTAAGTTTACTGCAGTTAGCACTGCTTCCAACCCAAGGTTATGACTGGATAGCCATTTAGAAGGGGAAAAGGCTCTTTTTCAGCCTGGAATGGACTTAAGAATAATGTACATTGGGGCTGTGCCAGGCTTCAAAAATAATTGGAAATATATGCTTCAAGCCTATCTCTGCCATTCATTAAAGCAACTCATCTTTTTTCAGGCTTGCACCCTTTTTTCCAGATTCTTGAGGAATAGGTTAAAATAGGTATATGTTAAATAGGGTTTAAATATTTACTAAAATAAAATTTGTATCACCACAGTCCCAAAAATGAATGTTCTCCTTCATTAACTTTACAAAATTCTTTGCAAATACATAATATAGAGATGCAACCTAGAGAAAGTTTTTTTTACCAGTGTAACAATATGAACAGACTTTTAAAAAAAATTTCTTTTATACAGAATCAATCTAGCAAAATTTAAAATGCCTTTAGTCAGATTATCAAACAGCCAGCCAGAATCTTTTGGCTCTATTCTTTTCTAACTTTAGGGGCTGGAAGAAAAATCTGTCCCGGAAAGCAGTTGTCCCATCTTGAGACCACTTGGAAATGCTTCATGAACTTTTGTGTGTTCCAGCCTCGTACATACGACTTTCACTTTGTGGTTTGTCTCCACACTACCACAAGTCATTGTTTTGCAAGGCAAAAAAAAAAATCTCTTTGGAGTAAATAAACATGGTGATCTGACATGCAGGAGAAACTCATCAGGTGGATCGTGCCAATATTGTTTCAAGGTATACATGAGCTACTTTTATGCTACAAGTAGGCCTGAAACCTAAGGCCTTCTTCAGTGCTAATCTTCTTTTGGAGGTTCATTGAAAGAGGAAAGCAGACATCATGGAAATATTACATACAGCTGTGGTGTAAATTTTCATTTGATCCTATAAGTACATGGGATGGCTTTATTTCAAAATATTATCCTCATTCTTTTACTCTCTATCTTTAGAGAAAGAAAACATAAATGATATTATTAGAAACTTGGTAATGATAGTAATGGGAATTGTGAAGATCTACATATATATGTTGAAACCTAATGCAAATAAAAGAAAGATCCATTAAATATGTGGAAACCAGGATATAAAGAAAAAAAATCAAAAGTTTAAAAATTGTCTAACAGCTTTGTAGAAACATCACAAACCAGTATGTTATACATTGCAGTTATGTCTACTAGCCTTCTTCATTCCTTTAGCAATACTGTATTGCATAATGGGGGAATGGAAAGGGTCCATTGCAAAAATGCCCCACACTAAGATACTCCAAAGTAGGCTAATATGTAATTAAGATTTAACACTGACTTGTGGTTATCTCTGTGATATTTATAATATTTCAAAGGTCTTTTCTGCTCACCCAAGCTTTTAGGCTCTTAATTTAAAATTTATGCTTTCACTTAGGGGTATATGTGCTTATTGCTTTTTTGTTATATTTTATGTTCATTTAGTGAACATAATGGCTTTATGTTTGAGTTTAATATTTTTTAACATTTTAAATAGTTTATTATTTTAAATTACCTAGACTTATATTTACATATTGCAAAACTGGAACAAATGACCAAATAACAAAATTATCTATAGACTTACTCTGCTGCTATTTTGCATTCAAAATGTATGTTAAAAAACCAATTTTATTCATTCTAATATTGGATACAACTTGTTTTCATTCAGAAGTAATATAAGATGAATCTAAAACCATTCACAGTATTTATTATCCAGGGCATTTTACACAACTCAGCTGTCTTTCAATATATTTAGGCCATAGATCAATTCCAATTAATTGAGATGGGTGATGATGCTTAAGTGAAGCTGTTAAAATGCAAGCCTATGCCACTATTGGCCATCAGCTGCAAAGAAAGTTTGCAGTTCAGTATTAGCTAGTGAAATCTGTTTTGCATATACTACATTTTAAAGTCTCAAAATCTTTTTATTACTTTTAAAAATCTGAATTTTAGTAAGCTGCTCAGAAAAGAGGTAATAATATTAATTAATATTAATTAAATCTTGTACTTCAGTTATTGATGTTCTTGTATTGGCTGTGGCTTTTGTCCACCACTTAGAATAGCCTTGGCTGAAGCAGTTCATAAATACATAACTAAACAAACACAATTGGGGCTCTATAAACCTTTGCTAGAGTTGTTTCAGAATATGTGCAAAGCACTCTTTTTGAAATGTTAAAACACTTGCATCTTTTGAAAGGTTTCCACAACTGGGCTGTCACATGCTGAGCAAGTCCCTATCTCTATGTATGCAGAGAGGACTGGAATCAACTTCCTAGAAAAAGATGCAGCTGCTTTAACAATTCAAAAAGGCATGTATGTGCACCTGTTTGTTCCAAACCACTTCTTTTGAAAGATATACATAGCTTTAGTGGTTACCTCAATTTAGCACCATAACTTGATTTAATGTGCAGGTTTCAAATCTTCAAGGCTAAGTAAAATCTTCTTAAAGCTTTATATTTATAAATATATATTTTAATATCAAGTTCTTTTTGCCCCTTTTAAAAGATACTTGCAGATTCTGCTTAAATAATATTCTTGCCTATCCCTCTCCAACTGGGATGCCTGTTACCATTTTCCAGTTTCACTCACCATATGATGGGATTCCATAGTGCTGACCAGGCTGGGGGTACGTTGAATAAGCAGTAGCTTGTTGCATTCCGGTGGTAAACTGTGTCTGCCCATATGCAGCCATGGTTTGCGAAGAAGGAGTAGGGAGAATATGTGGGTATGGTCTGCTGTTTGGTGCAGAATGACAGAAAATAGGAAAGTTTTTGCATTAAAACAATAGAATGATACTTTGGTGAAATTGCATGGCACAATCCAAACATTTTGGTGATGTGCAAATACATTAATATAGTTTCTATATCTAAAGATTTATTTTAATTATTTTGAAATTCATTCTTTTGCAACAGGAAACTGATTTCAGCTACAATTTAACAGATGGATTCAATTACAGTGATAAAAAAGCTAGGTATAAATCTACTTTTTTTTCTTTCTAAAGAAAAGATATCTTACTTGGAAGGGTATATCTGAGGTGGGGAAAATGGGTGAGTTTGTCTTGGGCTGAAGCCACTGCTTCCAACTCCTATATGAAGGAGAAAAGAAAGCACATGGAAGTATAAGCACACACACATATCTAATCTAAATATTATTTTTGTTAAGGCAACTTTAGACATTTAACAATGTTTAATTAAATTAAACTAGTGCCAAGTAATACTTTATTAGAGTCAGACTAGCATGACAACTCTCTATGTCTTTATTACAAATTACGTTTTTTCAATTGCTCCTAAGGGATCATTCATAACTTTTTAACTCCCTGTCATACTTGGTTCTATTTAATTAATGTTGAAGTTACTTTTTTTTCTTGCAACTTCGCTCTTCCTTAATACTCTACATTTTATATGAGTGATATTTCAGTCTTTAACAATCTGTCTTCCTCTTTCTGTCTCACACGCCTCAAAACCTAAAGATGAAATTAAACACTTATTCCTATAAATGAATGATATCCTTCAAATCTTTCAACTAATCTGTATAACTCAGAATGTTCTTTATATCACTGCAGATTTTTAATCCATTATTACCTGAACCAGGCTGAGGAGTATTTTTCACCTAAGGGCCATGTTTGTTGTGTTTAATCTTCTTGGGATGGATCACAGAACCAATCAATCCAGAGTTCCCATCAAGGCACAAATGACTAGGGTCAAATTACTTTATTTGGGACACATTATATGAGATCTAGCTCTCTTGAGAGGTCTGTAATGCTGGGAAAAGTGAAAGGATAGAGAAGAAGATGACAACCAGCAGCAGGGTGGGTGGACTTGAATACACTGGAAATGGGTGCACTACTGGAAAACCTGAAGGGCTAGGCTGAGGACACAACATCCTGGTGAAGGTCTACCTATGTGTTTACTGACAGACTTGATGGCACATAATCAAATCTTCTTTGAATCACAAACTGGCAGTATTGATTTTGATATGCAGAGACTGGCATACAGTGCAGAAATTCTTATAGGGGACTGGACAGCATCAAAATAATATAGTTTTAGAGTAAATTTAGATATGAATGTAGCAACATTCTCAATTTCCTACATCTTTTATCTAGTTCTTCTCTGACATAGCAAGAGAGATTGTATGAATTAATTGCACAAGCAAGGATTTCTATTCATACATTGCTGGTTTGCTGCTGAATTAGAATTAGAAGCCTAGTGAACAATATTTGAAGTTTTCCACTTCTGATGCACACTATTTGACAGTGGCTTCCCAGGATTACAAATGGGTCTTTTCAATGACATGTAAAGATCTAAAGATTAAACATTGGTCCTTTTGCATGCAAAGCACATACTTTTCTACTGTGATTCAGAAAGACATGCAAAGTATCAAGAATCTGAAGTATCTTCAAAGAAAGTTTAGTGCTGACAGAATCTTAAAATGTAAGAATATTCAGACTGAAAATATGTAAACAGTATATTCTTACAGGAAAATTGCTTAGTCTCCCAAAAATTGCAGAAGCAGCAGACTACAGAATTTGCTGTTTGGTTGTTACCCATGAAACACCTACTGTAATATCTGGGCCTTGATCATTTATTTCGCGAATATCAACAGGTACAAGAAAACTATTTCCAGATTATATTTGAAAAAACTGAATTTGACTGGCAGTCAATTGACTGGCAGGCAATTTGATTGCTTCACAACAGCTGCCATGAGAAATACAGAGTTAAACTGGATCAGATGAAAACTTTTTCTATCCCAGTATTCTGCTCCTACTATGGATAGGCAAATGCTTATAAGAAGTTTCTAAGTGGGATATGCAAATGATACCACCGTATTTCACTAGCAACTGGTGTTAAGAGCCATATAGTTTTTGATACTGGAGCTAATCTATAACTATTAAAAATAATGATAATTAATAGCCTTATCTATAAATTTGTCTAATATCTGTTTAGGGTTGTCCAAGTTGGTGACACTACATCTTCTAGGATTAGATTCCATAGTTTAGCTATACCCTACATTATGTGAAAACAAATCCTATTATCTGTTCTGATATTATGAGAAAGGGTGAGAGACGCTCTCTCCACACTACACGTTGTACATATCCTACACGTCCTTCTCTTACCTTGTTTGCCAATACTGTAACTCTTCCCTAGAATCCTAATAATTTTGCTAACTCTTTTCTGCAACTTTTCTGGTTCTACGTTAATCTTTTTCAGTAGCAATGATTAATATATCAGTATAACTTAAAACTATTATGAAATTGGCAGATTTATTTTTTATTCCTTTCCTAATGATCCCCAATGAGAAATCTGTCTTTTTTCTATCAGTCACACAGTGGAATGTTCACAACCCCCAAACTCCATTCCAGTTATTGATAATTCAGACCCCAAGAAAGAGATTAAATATATATGGAAATTATATAATGTTCTGCCATTAAAAACATGTTGTTAATTAAGTATCTAAATCATTATTTTTTGTTTCATTTGTGGGTCAGATATTTAGATATGGTGAAAATATTTTATTTCTTACCTGATCCTGAGAAACTCTCTAAAGACCCGTCTGCTGTTGTAGTAGCAATTTCACTGCTGCTCATTGGCTCTGTTTTAACTAAAACACAAATAACATGTATTCTATATATAATAGTATTTGTGCACAAACCCATGCATGCATGCAAAACACATACATAAGCACTGAGTGCAATCATATACAAAAAATGCAACAAGTCACAAAGCAAGTGCATTTATAGAACACAGACTCAAGAAATGCTTAAGTTCAAAATGAGTAAACGATTCATTAATAATGAATTAAATGACATATTATTTTTCTAGAGAAATATCAAAAGTGATGAACATATAAGATGGTATTTTCAGATCTGAACAATATTAATGGATCAATCCAGTTGTATACTTTTATTTTTCATCCTTCTAAGCTAATCTATTTTGCCATATCTTTACAATATTTAACATATTACATATATTGCAATTAGGGACCAGTCTACTTTAATTCTTTACATTCTGCAGGCTTCTTGTATATTCCTGCTCCAATTGCTGAATACAAGCAATTTCATTATATGGAGTCAGGCTGTTGGTCCATTCAATTCAGTATTATTTACACTGATGAACAGGAGCTTTTAAGGATTTCAGGCAGGAACCTTCCCTATTCTGTGAAGTGATGATATAAGTTAAAATTTAGTATCTTCAACAGACAAATCATGTGCTTTATCCTGAGTTACAGCTCTTCTCCTAACTTTAGTGTAGTTTATGCAGCCTACTTGATAGTGAAGAGATAAACTTATTTATTTAAAACAAAAAATGCATTACAAAAATAGATGTTCTCATTATCTTGCATTAATACCTGTTGGATGGGTGACACAGTGTGTATTATCAATGTGGAATATAATGAATCACTATAAAGATAAGGATTTCTAAAGATGCTTTTTTAAAGTGAAAAGCAATAGCCATTTTCTCTGTACATAAGTAGTCTAACTATAATTACCTTTGATTGGATACCCTCCTGTTTGAGTTACTAAAGTATGCACTGGGCGTTCCCTTGGAATGAAATCTCATATTTCTACTGGCTGGTCAGAAAGTGTTTTATTCAATCCTGATGAATTGTTTTTATAGCTTTATTCACTGTCAAAGACCAAAATACTTATGAGAACTGACAAACTAAGCCAATTATCATAGGGATTTATTTTTTTAAAGAGTTTCCCTGCCCCACATTGCATGTTATGATAAGGGTGCTTCAGGCTTCAAGCACCTATAAAATAGTTTACACTGTTTTTGATAGGATGGACTGTAGAAGGTATAGTACTTGCCTTTATTTCTACAAAGTCTGCACTGAGCTAAGAAAGATGGAAAAGACCAGAGCATGACACTTTACTTTGTAAAATATGAAGCTGGGCTTTTCTATATTCAATTTGTCCTAATATTAAGGGAAGCCTGAACCACCAAAAATCATGAAGGCAAATGGAAAAAAAAATCAAACTCAATTAAACAAACACAATATACTGTACATTTGTAACATTATTGCTTTCTTACATTGCTTGGGTTACACAAGCATTAAGATACACAGAAAAAAATGTTTTGCTGCACATAACAATTGCTGCAGTTAAGATTGTACGACACAGGAGTAAGAGCTTGGAAGAATTCTCTAAAATTTGGCAGCAAAATGACATATTCTAAAATCAGTCTCAAGAGTGAAAACAGAAAGATATTGTAAGTCATTTCAACATGCATTCTTTACTCTAAAGAAAAATATGCTTTGGAATGCAGCAAATGTGTACAAAAACCACTTGTACCACATTTAAAAAATTCCACTATTTGAGTAAATGGAAACTTTATTCAATCACTGCAGGAATTTTGCCTAGCTTTGACTATATTTTTCCTATATTGAAAATTATTCCCTTTTCCAAATCTAACTTGATCTTCTAATATTATATTACCCTTATCTTAATTTTATCCCTTTATCCTGACCTTGTTACAATGGTTACTACATCACATGCACACATACACATGCACAAACAAATGTTTGGTAAAGATCAAACTACACTTTATGCTAATTATATATTCATCATTTGCTCTTAAGCAAACAAGACCTAAATCAGACTGGGGTCAGGGCAAATGCACTGCAGAGATAATTTTTTCCAGGATGTGACACTTTAATAAAAAGTACAATTTATCCTCCCCTCCCCTCCCCTCCCCTCCCCTCCCAACAGGCTGTCAGGCATAATTTTTGTTTTTTCTTTAAAATAAGGATGTGGGCCTAATCTGTATCTAGACTATCATGTACAAGAGATGCATAGAAATGGAAGTCAAATGAAGATTGGGCACATGTTACTTTAAATCAATGAAAAGCAAGAAACAGAGTCACATGCTACACAATGATGTAACACATAGTTAAACAAGATAGCAACCAGATGTCTTTAAAGCAGGTGTGTGGGTTAGTTCTATATGCAGCCACCTAAAAAGTTATGCAAGTTATTTTATGAAAAAAGAAAACTCTATTCCAAGGAACATCTGTTGTATTCATTCCACAATACAGAATTCTAGAAAATGTAGTAAAATATATAGCATTTATTTTTGGACTACTCATGTTTATGAAATTTATAACTATCTTCTTTGGCATGCCAATATGTTCATCTTTTAATGCCTGGCAAAATTTCAAAATTGAGGCCCTTCCTTCCTTCCTTCCTTCCTTCCTTCCTTCCTTCCTTCCTTCATTCCTTCCTTCCTTCCTTCCTTCCCCTTTCCCTTTCCCTTTCCTTTTCCTGCATGTCTTCTTTCCTTCCTTCCTTCCTTCCTTCCCCTTTCCCTTTCCCTTTCCTTTTCCTGCATGTCTTCTTTCCTTCCTTCCTTCCTTCCTTCCCTCCCTCCCTCCCTCCCTCCCAAAATTAAACAAATTTACCCACAGATGCCTAGCAAACATTCAGGAACCTGGCAGGCAAAATTAGCTGTTTTAGAGCTGAATGAGTAAACATTATTTAATATTATGAAGCTCACAATTGAGTACTGCAAAATAGCACACATATACTGCCAACACGTTTTCAGATGCATGTGTAAAGTTTTGTTTTCCCTTTAAAACTAATTTAAAAACAAATGAAATTCTTACATATAATTGTCAAGTCCATGCCTCCTTACTAAGTAACTTATTTGATTAGTGCTTTTCTATGAAATTTCAGTTAGAAACAAGAGTACTGATTACAAAGTAATCTCTACACATAGACAGCAGGATACTAACAGGAGCAGTTTTGAGCCATCAATAACAAGGTAGCATTTAAATAAAAAAAGGCCTAGAATAAAAATACAATTAATAAAATAATGTTTAAAAACAGCTTTGTGTTAATTTCAGATTTCATTCTAAACAGATTATAAATTTAAATATAAATTTAAAAGTTAAAACTCTTAATCCTTTTAAATACATGATCCTTCTCTCTATAAAATGTGCTGAATGTTTTATAGAAAAAAAGTTGATTTAACTGAAAGTTGATTAAGTCTGAATATTTTAAGTATGCTATTTGCCATTTACTTTATTTCCATAATAAATCACCAATATTTAGGTTCCTTTCAGACAAACAACATGGACTTTTACTTTTCATTCCAGTCTGTCCAAAATTGAGAAGCTTTTATTTAAAACATTCTGACACTTAGCTATACAGTAATCTAATACTTTTAACAGTGAAACTACATTCTTATGCTTCTGGTCTGAAAGTATAATTTCAGAGAGTTTCTATTAAATCCATATAATGCCTTATATATCATAAAACAAGCATTATGGTCCCCAAATTCTTTTCAGGTTTGGATTTTAATCAGTTTTGGTAAACCTTTGCTGGAGTCCCTTTCCCATCCCTTTAAATCACAATTAACCACTAACTGTGGGAAGAATGAACAGAAATATCTCTTCTTTATCACTCTAGTACAAAGTATTCTACATTGCTGCATGCCAGGCAACAAGACATTAAAAATAACCAGTGGTGAAATGTTTCTTCCAAGGTACTACAGCATATTACAATTCCCAGAGGATAGCACAATAAGGCATGGGGAGGAGATTCCTTTCTCTTCTTTTACTTTTTATTCTCGATTTAGGACTTACATGCACATTAAATGCATTGCTTGAAGTAAGAGCAAGTCTTTAAAAAATTATTTATTTTATTTAATTTTATATCCCATATTTTAATCTTTGCAGCAATTCCAAAATGAAGATGAATTCTAAAAGGCAAATTCCCTCCATGAAATTTAATCCAATTAATTATTTTTTTAAAATCCTGCAAAGCACTTTTAAAACTAACAAACTCTTTCAAATTCTATCAAAACAGCAGTACTATCTAGACAGAAAACACAACAGTGTCAGTTAACTGAAGGTCTTGGAATAGATACATCTATGGCTTGTATTGGATGCTTGTAAGGATTAGCACCAACTACATCTGGACAGAAACAGAATTTTATAACCAGAGCAATAAAACCAATTTGATCACGATTTGGATTATAGTGTGTTGGAAGAGGAAACATAACTCTTTTCATCCATGCTGGAACTCACGTATATATAATCTGGATTTAAATGGTGTTTAAAAAATAGACGGTGGTGGCACAGTATGCCTTGTCTATTAATATGACATGAGAACAAGGTCACTCAAAATAAGTAAACTGTATTTCTAAATGTAAGGTCAAAATGTATTATGGAGTACCATGTCTAACCCTATCAGATCACTCAGCATAAAAGTATTGAATATATCCATATTGAAATATATGGAATGTTATGATGTCTGTTATATGGATTGTTATGATTGTTCTGCTATAGTGCATATCACATTTATTTTGCTTTGATAGCACAGGTACATTTTTGCTGTTTCAGAATGAATTATTCATTATTTTAAATTAACAGATAAGAACAAATGTTATCTTTAATCCATTTAATTTGTTAAATGTTTACAATAAATATAAATATTGGTATATTTGAAACATATAGAAAAGAAAATGTTGGAGTATTCATAAAAATAAGGAATTTCTGATGGAATTAGCTGAAGCTTAGCGGAACTGAAAAACTCAGCCCTGAAATATATTCAAGTACTCAGGGAGAAGTGCAGTTCTTGCTTTCGCCAGAACATGCCTATACGCAGTATAAACTCTAGCAGGTTTTTTTTTATGCTATCACAATCTTCAGTAAGATTAACATTTTTATTAGTAGTAGAGGCAAAATAATATGTTATCACATACATTTATTACTTTTATTAAAGACAAAGGGTCTTTGAGCACTCTAAAGAGTGATTTCATTATCATATCTGATATGGAACATCTCAAGCTATCTATCTGAATGTATATTTAATGCATTGAAATGCCTCAACTTATAGAACAAAATTTTAATAACTTCAGAGGAGGGGATAAATACAACACACTAGTATCAGGATCCTACCATTCTGTAATAATTTTAGATTAGGGAGCAGATTTCCTTGGGGGATGGCTTTAAATTCCAGAAAGAAACAGGTCTATAAGTAGGCAATCTCTTTTTCCTTATCAACCTTGATGGATTATATAAATCCTGGCAGAAGACTTTTGCTGATTCATATTGGATATCTAAGTGAATCCATTTATCTATTTATAAACTAGCTATCATTTATCTATCCATCCATCCATCCATCCATCCATCCATCCATCCATCCATCTATAAATAGAACCTTCTTTAAAATAAAAGTTTCCAGACATTCTTTTGGTTTTCTTTTGGTTTACTTTTAAGGTATAAATACAATATTTTATTGTATTTCTGCAGTTAGGTTCTTGAACAGTATCAAAGACATCTCATTTTAATATTACTTAATTTGTGTAGGGCAAAGGCTCTGTAGTATTTTCACAGTGAGGGATGTACATGACCTCTGAATGACACATCCAGGAGTAACATTTCAATATTGCCAGAACCAGGACAATGGAGTGACCTAGGACCAGCACAGAAACTGTTTAATTTAAAGTATATTAAGTAGTGTAATATGGTGGTGAAGGTGTTGGATTAGGAGGACTGAGACCATAGGCCATCTTCAGCCATGGAAACTCACTGGGTGATTTGAGGCTATTCACTCTCACTTTCAGCCCAATTTTCTTTATAAGATTGCTGTAATTAGGATAAAATAAACGATTATTCCCATGTAAGTAATTCTGAACACCCAGAAAAAATGCACCACCAGCAAGCAAAAGCAATATGTTGCATACTGGATTGACTTCAAATAGATACTACATTTTGAGATTTGGGCTTGAGTTCAAAATACTTAGTAAACCCTGTCATATTGATTTCATCAATCAACATTGTTTATGCTAAAAATGTATATTCAAACTCTTTTAACTCAGTAATATTTGTTTCACACATAACTACAGTTTTGTTTATAATCAGTCTATAAATAATTATTTTAATCTCTTATTTTGCCATTTGCCCCTCCTTCCCTCTCCTCAACAACTTTTCAAGCATGATCCACAAAATCTTGGGACACAATAAACTGTTATTCTTTGTGATGCCATGAAATTCTTGGTTACAGCTTGCTAGTACAACTAACACTCTGTAAATTAGTTTTTCTTTTCTGATGAAGAAATAAATATATTAGCATAACCAATTCTCAAAGAAACATCACATTCAGCAATTTTCTTTGGTCTAGTACTAGAAAATCTCTATACTTTCCTATTATTGTTTGAATTTTATTTAAGGATATAATTCTGAAAAAAATCCTTGATCTTTATATTGTCACAATGCCATTAGTACTGTGCTTCATCTGTAAATACTATACAGCTGCAGCTTTATTTTCTATGAATTCTTCTATAAAATGTTATAGCAATGTAAAAATGTCATAAAGTAGATAGACTTTTACATTTATCTGTTATATTATCAAAGGCCTATGATTTAAATATGGGTATGAACTGTATGACCAAATACAATTGCACCTTCAATTTCAGCAGATTGTGCTGCACTGGACAATTAGAAACAAAAAAAGATGCTAACCTGTATATCGATATTTATTGTAAAAAACTCCCTCAAAAGTCTACTTTCCTAAATAAAAAAAATGTTAGTATTCCCATTCCTAAAATATGCAACAAAATATAGCACCATGTACCTTCAGCCAAGAAACTCAAGATGCATTTCTTGCTTATAATAAAACTGCTCATCCAGGTTCAATGTAGATCACAGTACCTCTTTCCTCAGCACACTTTAAACAATTATTGCTGGTGTTTGATAGCAAAGTGCTTTTGGCATTCAGTTTAAGAAAGGTGGAAGGTACAAAAAATAGTAGCAACAATAATTGCAATACATTTTTTGCTCCTCTCCTCTTCCAACTGCACTGTAGGTCTTGTAGGCAACTCTAACTTCTCAAGTGTTTTGGGAAATAGAGTGAAATGCTGTTTCATCTGTAGAAATATGGCCTTTTGAATCTTATCCAGTGTGCTTAAATATTACTGTTCTAAAGCTGCTACTTTTCTACCACTAATATAATTCTTACCCAAAAAGCTGTTTCTGCATAACTATTCATAAATCTTTCCTCCACAAAAATCTTCATAGAACTACTAACAGCAAAATAAAATCTTTTCTTGTGTGTATATGTGTTAATTACTGAAGTCCAAATGATAATCTAGTTGTTTCAGATACCTTACCCTAAAGCAAGATCTCCTTTACAAAATGGGCTCCCCTGTAAACTGCACGTGTTGCTGAAAAGAATCCATAATGCTGGACTATTGGGGACACTGCACTTCCCCTGTAAAAGGTATCTACTTTCAATGTAAGCCAGTGTATAGTATTTCTCAGAATGATGCTACATAAACAGGTACATAAGAAAAAGAATAAAACCAATGCTACAGTACAAATGCAACATTTAAATCACTAAATAATTAATAGATTTCATAACAACTGATACGATAGCATATACAGTTGTCATTTTTATTACAGTAATCCAAAATCAGTGTCTAATATCAACTAGTTACCTTCAGTATTATAACCATTTTAAATTTTTACTATGAACAACGTGCACTTGAAGAAAATTGATACACTCTAGAGAGGATAAAAGAAATCTTTAGTGTGCTTCTCCTTTCATAACACTGGAAGTGGAGTCTACTATGATCCCCAAATGCTTTTACATTATAAGTTTAGACTCAAAGTCCAGGGTGTATAATCCCCACTGTACTCAGGATAGCCTGCCAATCATATTTCTCATACCAACTTGTACACTGAAACTCTAGCCATTGGAACAGTCAAAGTTTTCTATACCAGTCATAGTACCACACTGTATACCAGAAAATTGCATTTGAAATAATTATCTCCTTTCTTGTGAGGAACCTAAGTACTTCCACCAACTTTTAATTAAGTTTTAGTTTTCTATAACCCATCACTTTCTCACCTGGGTTAGGGAAGAGATATGAGAAAAGAAAATATGCAAGTAATAAACCAGAGTTATAAATCTTTTCTTACTATATGTTCAAGGAGCATAGATCTGATATACCATAAATTCTCAGTGATTAAGGCATAAATGAGTTTCAATTACTTCATGTTAAAACTTACAAATATATAAATGCATAAACTGCTATCTCAAGCATACGTAACACTGAAGCAACTTATGTTAAGTCTTATCTATGTGATCTTGACTTCCTTCTCAATAAACCTAATTATGCACAGGCTAAGAAAATGTTATCTGCATGTTGTCATATGACATTCAGATACTTTGATTCACTGTGAAGTCTTATGCACAGTGAGCCTGATTGAGTCCTGTGAGTTTATTCCCAAGGCAGTATATCTGTATAGTATTGTAGCCTCAGTTTTCTAAGAATGTTACAGGAATAAACTGGACTATACCAAAGTATTTTTCTTCCACCTAACTCACAATACCTTGGTATAAAAAAGAAAACAAACAGCAATATCTTGCAGCACATTTGATAGGGGTTTGAAACAGAGCAGTTTCATTTCCCTCTGTTAAATCACTGAAAGCAGTTTGGCCTATATAAAGCTCAGATATATTCAACAGCAATATACAGTAACTTTGCTTCAGAATCAGTTTTATAACATGCAGAAAAGTCTCTATACAAACTTAAACTTCTCTCTTACATATATTATAACATTACTACATTACTATTAAGAGAATGAGACATTACACAAACTATTTACTCATCATTAACTAGCAATAACCTGAATATTCAACCACTATTCTTATTTTACCTATAATGGGAGGCCAACACTGATTTTGGCTGACTCCTCAAAGCTAAGCAGGGTTGGACCAAATTAGTACTTAGATGGGAGACCACCAGGAACTCACAAGGTTGTAGGCTAGGAAGTGGAAAAAAATATCATGGAAAAAGGGAATGGAAAACCACTTCCATAGTGTGGATAAGAAAAACTAGAGGGACATAGTCAACCAAGAGCTGAGTTTGTGTCACGGAAGCCTTTACCTTTATTATTTTTTATATGAACTAAACAGATTACACATTCTTTATGCTATAAATTCAGGTGAAGCATGTAAAAACAAAATATTGACCTCATTTCCATAAACTCTTTGTTCAAATCCAACAATAGTATTATTTATTTCTGTCTCATAGGAAACTAAGTATTCTCCAAATCCAATAGTTGTCAAAATAATCCAAGTAAAACAAAAGGGAAAAGGAAAGTAAACTCCTCTTAACAAATATCAAATTAATTTTAAGGAGATAAAGCAACTCTCACTGTATGCCGGGGTACTACATATTTTACTATATAGGAATACATGAACATTCTGTAGCAGTCAATGAAGCTTACTTCAAGTGCACATACATAGTACTGTGAACTTAATTACCTTTCAATGAAGTTAACTAACAGCACTTACAATTTTATTACAAACAATAAAGAGTCAGAACCTTTAACTTCGCAAAATCTTAAAATGCATGCTAGCAATTTCGCATTCATCTTGGCTACACAAACCTGCAGTGGTCTGTGTATTAGCATTTAACAACCAGTCTGCAGTGCTGAGCAGAGTCATGTCACCTAAAGGAAAATTGCAAAGAAAATAAAATACTAGTAGTTTTTTATAAATGTCACAGTATTACATGTATAAAATATCCAGCAGAAAAGTTTTATTTCTTTTAAATTAATATTAAAATATGGTATTTTAGGCTCTGGCCCTACCCTCAATTACTTGGAATTGTTACATTAAGATCAGTAGAACTTAACATCCTGATAGGTTTGTTTAGAAAGACAAGCAACACTTCTGGATTTCATTAGTTTAAGTCATTAAACCCAGAAGATAATAGTTATCACCATCACTACACTTGCAGATCGTGAAATATAACTCATCTGCCCACCCCCACCCCCCAATCAACCAGCAACTA